AGTCTATTAAAGCACGATTAGTCTAATTAATTAGCAAATGTGCACGTGCGGTATCGCTCATAGGCTGATATACGCGCGGCTATGACCGGTGGAACGAAACGTCACGAATTCTATTTTTATCCTCCAATCACAGGTCGGAGCAATTCCTCTGTTTAGACGTATGTCTAATGGCTACAGTCTACAGACTTAGTACAGTGGTCAGTGCAGCTTTTCCTGCCGCAATCTGCAGCATTGATCTGTCCGTCAACTTCAACCTAAGATGAATCAAGTTGAACCTCGTCTTGCGCCATCTTCGATATAATATTATATGATAGCCCATTGAAATGTAAAGGCCAATATCATCATATCACCATTACCATTATGAGGTTACAACTATTTACCGCTAACGTGCAATCGTTGCGAGAGATGTGCCGATGGCGATGGCCCGCAGATACAATGTCCTACGGATCGCAGCAGAACGTTCCACAGGTACTTGGAGCATCTCAACAAAGAAAATTTGTATCGTCGCCCGAGTGATTATAGGAAATCCTGCGCGCTGATTGGTCGAGACCTAGGTGATTATTTTTTCGATAATCACCTCTAGGGTTTACATTGTAGTGGCGCCAGAAATGGCAGCTAGATTTGTAAATGTTACGGCAAGTCGAAGTCGAGTAATTACCTTTTTCAAAGAAAATTTATTTAAAATAAATTTTCTTTGAAAAAAGTAATCACTCGGGCAATGATACTAAAACAATTATTCGCCCCAGGCTCGGTGAATCTTGTTGAATAATGCTAAATAAACACGAAATGTATTTACTGCCTTACTACATATATATATATATGTGTGTAAATGTGAAGTGGCGTGCGTGCGGTGTACGTGTGTGTTGCAGAGGAGCATTTGAGCAGCATTTACAGGAAATTATCGGCAATAATAGGTGAAAGAGAGTAGTGAAACATTAAGACTTTGGTGGTAAATACATTTCGCTTTTATTTAGCATTATTTTTCTGTATTGAGATGCTCCAAGTGCCTGTGGAACGTAAGCTGTTAAGAGAGACAGCTGTAAAGCCCGAGCCGCGTGAAATGTATCGCGCCGGTTGCAGGGTGTCAGCCAGTCTCACCATCGGAGCGAAGCGAGGATGCTGCAGGCGTGAAGCCCCTTAAGGGGGAGGGCCTTACCTTAAAATGGAGGAAATTTAGTCTGAAATGCCCAAAAGACAGGAATCTGATATGATTTTATATTCTTACAAGCACTGTTGTTAGTAAATACAAGGTGTATAATATATAAAATTGGGCCGCCCTCACGCCGTCTCTATCAACTTTCATCCGTCTCATCCAAGAATAGGCCAAAAGGGCACTGGTCAACTCGACCCACCCGCCAACTCGACTCGCATTGTGGCAAGTTTACCTGCCTGGAGGTCGGTCAGCTCGACTCACGGTCTAACTCATTTAAGATGTTTTACACATTCCGACGTCAAAACGCGTGTGGCATTTTTGTGGGAATAACCTTTTATTATGCGTAGAGTATAATTTTGTCACACATAACATGATCAGGAGCGAATAATAGAGATCTCTATTACTCACTCCTGATATGATCAATCGCAATTTTCAATCTCACATGAGTTAACTCGACCCAGAAGCCGAGCTGTCCCCTCCCACCTCCAGCCTGGGTAAACTCGTCACACGGGTCTATTTTGCCGGCGAGGCGAGTTGACTATGGACCGTCCAAAAGACGGGCAGACGGGTCTCTAGCTAACACACTGACCGGTCGTGACATAACGTGTGTTTCGCGATGCAGGTTGGAATGGCTTCACGGCCCTACACAAGGCGTGTCTGCGTGGAGACCTCACCACTGTCGCAATCCTACTGGCAGCGAACGCAGACACGAACGTCAGGAACGATGCTGGTGAGAGTTACTGTCATTATAATAATAATCATCAATATAAAAAAAGTAATATTAATATACAACAACTAATGTTATTGCAACAATAAACCTTTAATAATAACAAATAACTAATTAACAATAACATACAACAATAACATGATAACAACAAACAACAGCAACAATAACAATAACAATGAATTGATAATAATGAATACATATTAATCGCCATAAACATCATACGCACGCGACGTACGCTACGCAGACACACAACATGCACGTACAGTACTATACTGTCACACACCCACATTACACTACACACGCGGCGACAGAGGACGGACACACAAACACAACATTACCATCTTGTAGTTTCCACACACACCTTCACACACACATCGCGCACCGGCAACCGCACACCCACACATCACACACATACACGCAACGCACGCACACACATCTCACACACATTTCATTCTTTCACACCACACGCACGCACACCACATACACACTTCACACCACACACACACATAACACCACACACAGACACACCTGGTGCTCAAATTAACAAAAAAAAAAAATTTTTCACAACACTCTCATCACGACACACTCGCCACACAACACACAATGATCATACACATCAGCACCACGCCACAATCATTCTTTCACGCACACACACACAACTAAGCCCGTTCATTTCATGCTTTGTTTTTTCCCCGTCAGGTGAGGACGCCCGCTGCACTTTGCAGCGAAGCGCGCATTTGGTGAAGAGTCGCACAGTACGTTCCTCTATATCAGCACGCCGTTCAAGCGGACGTCCGCTGACGACTCAGGCAAGTAAACGCACTGCACCACGCAGCACAGGGCGGATGGGTGTAAGTCACGTACAAAGTTAATACACGCACGGCTAACGCACGGCCACGCACTGACAGGGTCAAGGAAACTGCCACGCACCAACGCAGCACAGGGCGGATGGGTGTAAGTCAACTGTACATAAGTTGAATAACATTAATCGTACGGTACGCACGCACTGGCGAGCCAAACGCAATGTACCCCGACTTTTCGCACTGCAGCCACGCCAGCCACCGCACTAGAACGCACACGTGCGGTTTTTACTCGGCTTTGATGACGTTCACGCACGCACGACGCAACGGACGCAACGCAAACGACCAAAAGGGCAGGAATTGCACTGCCAAACCACGCGACAGGCGGATGGAATGCAAGTCACGTACAAAATTTGATAACATGCACGGTACCACGCAACAACGCACGCAACGCAGCCTACTGCACCGGCACCAGCCACCGACGCACTTACACGCACGGCACGCCACACACGCACGAAGACGCACACACCACTCTTAACACGTTTCTTAGCAGGAGGACTATGACTGCAAACTATATGGTTGCATTCTTACGGACTATGCCTGCACTAAACCTCTCCACATACTTTCGTCACTTGGTCTCTTGTCAGCGTGCATTTCTTACAGGACTATTGGCTGGCACTATCCTGTGGGCACATTCCCATTACAGGAACTTATGCCTGCACTACCTCTCACACCATGGTTGCATTCTTACAGGACTATGCTGCACTGCCTCTCACATGCGTGCATTCTTACAGTACTATGCCTGCATCTACTTCCCACCAACGCACTGCATTCTTACAGGGAACTATGGCTGACTTAACCTCTGCACACAGGCAGTGCATTCTTACTACAGCGACTATTCTGCACTTACCTCACTACCTCTTCACATGCGTGCATTCTTTACAGGAACTATACTTGCACTTATCTCGTGCAATTCTTGCAGATATGCTGCACTAACCTCTCATCGACGCGTGCATTCTTTGAGCCTATGCTGCACTATTCTCCACAAACGGCGGCATTCTTCAGCAGGAATAATGCTGCCACTTACTCTCCATTACGCGTCATTCTGCAGGCCTATTGCTGCACAACCTCCCTCACCTGCAATGCATTCTTACAGGACTATGCTGCACTATCTCATGCATTCTTACAGGACTATGCTGCACTACCTCTCACACGCGTGCATTCTTGCAGGACTATGCTGCACTACCTCATGCATTCTTACAGGACTAAATGCTGCGCACTAACTCTCACAACGCGTGCAATTCTTGCCAGGACTTAATGCTGTCACTATACGACTCTACCCTGAGTGCACGGCGTCTGGCTTGCTTTTCTCCGTACAGACGCCGTCACCTGATAAACGCGGCGCTATCATCGTGCGAGGTCTAAACACGACACACAGAGAACGCCGTGCTCTATCCTGCTGAGACCGACGGGTTGAGAGAGAGGGAGAGGGAGAAGAGGGAGAGGGTGGAGGTGAGAGAAGAGGGGAGGGGGGAGGGAAGAGGGCAGAGAAGGCAGGGAGGCGAAGTGTCTTGTGTCTAACAAATCGGACTACACCGGGTACGCCGTGCTCTACCTGCTGAGACATCGGGTGAGAGAGGAGAGGGAGCAGGGAAGAGGAGGGTTGAGAGAGGGAGAGGGGGGAGAGAGAGAAGGGGGAGGGAAGAGTGCTTGTGTCATACTGACGGACGGTACACACGGACGCCGTGCCTCTCTATCCTTGCATGAGACACGGGTGAGAGAGAGAAGGGAGAGAGAGAGGGAGATGGGGGAGAAGAGGGGCCGAGAGAGGGGGAGAGTTGTCTGTTCCCCATACACGGACACAATCGGACGCCGTGCCTCTAACATGCTGAGACCACGGGGTAAGAGAGAGAGGGAGAGCGAGTGGAGAGAGAGAGGGAGAGGGAGGGAGGGAGAGAGGTGAGAGGTGTTTCCGGTGAGGAGAGAGTGTCTGGTGGTCAACACGGAACCCTGCACGGACTGCCGTGCTCTAACCTGCCCCTGAGACACTGCCGGGGGTACAGAGAGAGGAGAAGAAGGGTGAGGAGGGTGAGAGAGGGAGGAGGATGGAGAAGATAAGGTAGAGAGATAGCAGGTACTAGGGAGAGAGATGGGGATGAGAGAGTTGTCCTGTGTCCCAACATACGGACATTGTATCAAACGTGGACGCCGTACTCTACCTGCCTTGAGACATGGGGTGAGAGCGACGGGAGGAGGGTGAGGATGAGATGGAGAGGGAGGGAGGGAGATGGGGGAGGGAGAGAGTGTCCCTGTAGTCAACGACGGAAACACAACGGGACGCCGTTTATTCCTACCTGCCTGAGACAA